GCTCCGTACGGCTTCTTTGCTCGGCGCGCCAGGAGTTGTTGGTTCCCAGGTCAAGCCGCCCTTGATTTTGGCGGAGGGGGGGGTGGGGGTGAGTTTTTGGGTGAGTTTGGCCGAACCATTGTTGGTTGGTTTAACGAGGGAGGTAGGTGTCTTGGTTTGGTGAGGGTTTGTTGGTAGTTGGTGGTGGTGATGGTGGTGGTGCTCGAGGTGTGATGTGAGGGGTGGAGGACCACTGATATATAACTTGACGCGGTGGCTGGACACGCACGCGGTCTTGTTGTCTAGTTGTCCTATCGACAATGACATGCGGTTGTGGCAGTGTTGCCTCGGGAGGGAAGTCCTGCTGCTTGGCCACCAATCGTCCTTCTAGGGCTGAGAAAACCCCTGTCAGATTTAGGACAGGTGTGGACGGTCATCCCTGAAGAGGCGGTTGAGAACAGATTCAATCCGTAAGAGTGACACGACTTGAGGAAGTTTTCCACCTCAGCTTTGGTAGTGCTCCTTGACCTTGGCCGCATGACAGTTTAGGGACCCCATAAACAACCGCGTCGGCACCACTCACGCTGTGAGAAATCTGGAAGCCTGAAAGTGATCACTGCCAGGCAACCTCTTGGTGATTAGGTTGATTAAAACCTGAAATGTGATCATGTCTACATAAAATGCAATCCAATCAAGGTATTTCTATGCCATGCCGCCCAAGCCAATGTCGTTCTGAGACCCAAATGCACGCTTGATACTAATCCACAACTCGAACGCCTCTAGCTTGATACCCACCCTCATATACCCCAGCCACGCCGCGAACAGCCTAATGGCATTCGGTGGCCAATACAATGACCCCCGCTGCCTGATTTCCTCCAGCTGCTCGTAAAACACTGTCCGCATGCAGTACCGCGCAAGAATCAAAAATTGCCGTGCCGGTCCCTGCCGCGTGTGCAGGTTCTCGTCCAAACTCCGCGTGAGATCGTTCGTCTTGAGAATGAGCAGGATGATGCGCGGTACTTGGCCAAGCATCTGCACGAGGTCCACGAGCAAGCCCTCCTGCAGGGCGCCGCTCATGGTCTTCTGCTCGCTGGCCTCCTTGGGCTTGGTGATGGAGGAGCTGACGACGCTGAAGTCACGCCCCGTGATGGCCGACGCGAACAGCGGGAACTTGTCCTCGCCTATGCCGGCGACCTCGTTCACGTACTTCTTCATGCGCTCCATGTCGCCGTCGATGACGGCCAGCCACATCTTGGCGTACGAGCGCCGCAGCGACTGCGGGATGTCGCGGTACAGGCCGTGGTCGTACAGGATCACGTCGAAGTTGGCGCCGCGCCGGGAGGGGTTCTTGCGAATCGCGATGTTGCCCCCGTGCGGGTCGCAGTGCAGTGGTGCGTTGTCGCCAAAGATCATCTCGTTAAATATCCTTGCCAGTGTAGCCGAGACCTCGTCGCGGTCGATGCCGCTGTTGTCTATGTATTCAAGGTCGTCAAGGCGGCGGCCCGCCTCACAGGCCATGACGAGAATGCGCTTCTTAGCCCAGATGACATCCGGGATGACGAGTGGGAGCTCTGGGATGCGCGAAAAGTAATCTTTTGTGCGCTTTGAGTTCTCAGCCTCGCGCTCAAAGTTGAGTTCGAGAGGAAGCGACACCTCGATCTCAGAAGACAGCCATTCGAGGTCGTATTCGGGGAAGAAGCGCTTGAGGGTCGAGAAGGTGAAGCTGGTGAGCGACATGTCCAACTTTGACCATTGCTGGAGGCTTGGATGCTGGACCTTGACAGCCACCTTCTGCCCCGTCTCTTTGATCGTTGCCAGATGCACTTGTGCCAATGATGCGGCGCCAATGGGCTCGGTCGAGAACTCGGAGAAGTAGTCCCAAAGCTCGTCCCCTGTATCATTCTTGAACATCTGCTCAATCGACTCGAACGAGGAGACTGGACACTTGTCTTGGAGGGGTATGAATGTCGTCGTCCATTCCGGGGGGAGGAGGTAGTTCATAGCGCTCTATAGCAGGTCTGTCAGTGCGAGTTCCAAGTCGGGTTTCTAGGGGCCTACCAGGTGTTGTCCCAGCTTGATGAATATCCCCCCATTTTTCTCGAGCACTTTCAGGGTCCTGTCTGCGCATCGCTTGTGACAGGCCTTGAGTACGTGTTCCCTCTCGTCTACGTCGTCGAGTTTATCCCGCTGGTTGAGCGTTGTTCGGTAGCTATTATCCTTTTAGTACCTTCACGGTAATGGTTGGCCGTCAGGGTAGTGCTCACTCATTAATACATAGAATAAGAGTTGACGCCACGCTCCCCGAGCGCTCCATTGCTTCGTAAGTATTTTTGACATCGTCCCCAACCGAGAGCAGCATCGTAGCCGCCCCTCCCCCAGCGGTTGCTAAAAGTACCGCCGCCCGCCGGCGTGACTTCGGTTTTGGTGGCGATCCGAACGAAGGTCCTGCGGTGCCATATCGCCTTGGTATCGGTGCTCGGGGGAAGTTGCTGGTCGGTCTGGGACCCTGGCTGCGACATCGGGCGCAAGTCCAGCCAGCGCCGAGGCGCTTCGTAACGAGTGACGACAAAGTTGGTTTCAGCATCGTGTGCGGTCGACGTCTCTCATTGCAGGTATTTGACGGTACTTAAGGAAGTCGCACGCATCTCGAGGGGTGGGCGTTGGGGCGAGCTTGCAGGACTTTGCCGCAGCAACAACAACCCCTGCCATAAATTTCAAGATTGGCATCGTCACATTCGCAAGATTTTTGGGGACACCGCGCCTCGGCGCGTCGGGTGAGATCGGACAAGGGGTGGACAATTGAGCTTCTTACGGGTTAGGGTTATACAGGGGTGTCAGGGGCTCTCAACACCAACCCTCCTTCCTCGTCGGAAACCACCGACCTGAGGTTTTGCAAAGGCCAAACCTGAAACGCCGTTGTTCCATTTTCCTCATTTTTCTATATTCCAAGGCAGCTGTGTGGTTTCTGTGCACTTCTTGGTATTAGTCCGTTCCCAAACACTCACTTACTTGATTGCCCGCTTAGGGGATGGGATGATTAAAATTGAAGCTGGCGAGTGCCAGCAAAGCAAAACAAGCTCATTCATTATGGGGATGTGGGGTTGACAAGGCAAGAGATTGACTTCAATTTGAGACTTTGCTGCCATTAACAGTAATGCAGCCGTGGAGTAAGTAATGATGTTAAAGAGTCATTGACGTCACGGTCAGTGACATCATCTTCCATTCGTTACCTGGCACCCTCTCTCGTCCGAAACTTGTATCCAGGGCGTTACAATAGTTATTTAATGCCCTCTGTTTGATTCCAACTCGCTTAACCACAGTTTTCCACTCTTCTTTTAACCACCAACAAAAGACTTAGGTTTCAGCACATTTCCATATCCACTCAGTAAGCCGGCCATCCCGAGGAGGTCGATACTTGTGTGAAGCAGCCCGTCACTAACCACCCATTAGAAATGTCCGAGTCCAAGACCGACAAGATTGACAGGGTCAAGGCCAACCTGCCCCTTCCCGAGCAGCCTCCCGTCCCCGGAGACATGAAGTCGGCCAACATGAAAACCACATCTAGCACAGGGGTTTCTGCAGGCGACGTCTCAACAGGCCCCGGTGTCACCTCTGGCCTGCGAGAGCCTGCCTCCAAAGATTCCAGCGATATCGACATGAGCGGCATCGGACGCCAGGGAAAGGAGGGTCTAGAGCACCCTCCCAAGGATGCGCGGAGCTGATTTTATTTTCCGAGTCTGAGCGAAAACAAGCATACATACTTCGAGTTTCAAGTTCCAACATTTCTATGAGCATGCTCGGGAGGAGTTTACAGTCGAAAGACAAATGCATTTTTTTTTATCAAGGTACATAAAACCCCAACTAGCTCAAACAATCATACTTCGTCGACCCTGTTTGTAAGAGTGAGGGAGGGATCTTGAAAATAGCTCGCCAGGGTAATAATGTGTTGTCGGTCATGACCGGGACACCGATGATGTTTGTCAGACATTAGTGATTCGGACCTCAATAACATAGCACGGATTGTTGTTCGAATGCATCCATCCTGCCCCGGGTGCCTGGCTGGTGTGAAGCTGTCGAGACCTTTCTCGCTGCTTTGATTGCCTCATTAATCTCAGTGGGCACCCAGATCTTGTAGGCATCTAAAATAACAATATAAGATTTCCTAGTAACATCATATTATTGGCATCATATACAAATTTAGTCTTCATGGTTTCCTGTGTGCCTACAGATCGTGCACGGTCCACATGCCGCTACCCCCTGAACGAAAGTAAACAACCAGCCAGAGAACACGACTTAGGGGGCGTGAATGGCAGTCATCTTTTTGTTTTGGATGTTTATAGTCGATAACAAAATTATTGTATTGAAATAGTGCCCCTGGGGAGATGATTACTACCAAAGTTTGTATACAAATGTTTTATAGACCTGCAAGCTCATCTGAGTCCATCCAGGCTCTGTTTGGTGTTCTCTTAGGCAGCCTGCTAACCTAGGAGAAAGCATCACAGCAAGATTACCCTGGTGTTTACTCTGGGCTGCATGCCCAAAATTACGAACCGATCTGATGTTCAATCACACAACGCTCGAATGGCATATCTCACTGGGCAACTCTGCCTGGGACCCGCTTCTCATCACTGTACATGTCTCCCTTCTTTTCCTTCGATACTGTCCGGCCTAGGTTGAGGGCTCTGCGCCCTACTTTCCTGCAACTGCAACTACAACTCAAGATAGAAACAGACGTGGGCCCGGCCCATCCATGATTTTGAGGGACAGAGGGGCATAAAAATCTGCTGAATTTCAGGCTGGTCTGGAAAGTTTCCACCCAGCCTCGAACCTTTGGTCGGGGAAAGAGAGCACTTCGGCCCCAGCCCTTCAACAAAGAGTTATAGCATTGCATTCTGCCTCGCAAGCCAATTAATTCTTCCTGTCCCTTCGTCTGTGCTGGTCGAACCGACTGTGCAGAGGCATCGGTAAAATATGACCTCGATCTTTCCATCTCGTATCTCTCGATCACTGATTGTTTCTCAAGCAATGCTGATATTTACCTTAGGTACTTTTTTCTGCTCTTTTTTCTTTTCTGTACCTTTCCCCTCCTACTTTCCTCCCCAACAGTGAGCGGTAATTCCTTCCACTGCCAGTCAGCACCTTCTCCTCCATTCCTGCTTCCACTTTTGCGACTCCCACTCCAATTCTATTTTGAGTCGCGCTTTGGGGCAACCTCAGGCAACGCGCCTTCCCGCTGTGTGCTCTATAGACTGCCCGTCCTCCACCTTCAAGTTACCTACCTAAATCTCGTTCCTTCTCCGTTTCATCTTCCACCTAACCACCAAATCAACCAAGTTAGTTGATTTTTATTTTCATTTCGTTCCATTTTAGGCTCGACTTCGGCCAACCCTTCGTTCGTCTTGCCTGGGGCACTGATAATAAAGCCAACTATCAATATGACTGGCGCGCCGAACCGGACGTCTGGCCAGGCGCCTTCAGGCCGATCTGCTGCTGAGATCGAGGCCGAAATACGAGCGGAGCGCGCCAGACTAGCAATGGAGGTGCAGCATTGCGCTTATCTCTCTCACCTCTGTTTCTCATTACTTACGAGTGCCAACAGGACGATCTCGGCATCGCGCGCGTCGAGGAATTACCCTTGGAAACTGAGTCCAGGGATCGTGCTCGGGGCCAGCATGGTCGCCATGCTGAAGCCAACTCGCGCCGAGGTCAGCCATCGTCTCGAGGTCCATCGGGCCAACCATCGCTACCCGGCAGCAACGGGGTGGCCTGGGGCATGGATCAGGTGTGGCAAGGTACGTTGCTCTGAAAAGTCTGCCCGTAATGTGTTAATATTTTTTTTTCAGACGCTATTGCGGCCAAAATTTTCGATGACGATGAAGCTGAGACCGTCAAGAACTTGGACGACCTCGGCGGTGGGAGACTATATGACAATGCTGCTCCTGCCAGGCCCCAGAAGGCTTGGATTAGCCACATGACGATGCGTATCCTCAACCAGCGTAACGCGCGGTTAGTTTTGTACCCCATTCTGCGGATTATTCTCAACGCTGACTCTCTCAAGCTCTGGGAATAATCCCGCTGAGCACCCTACACCCAACAAAGGAGGACGCCCCAACCCAAACCAAGGCCCGGCCCAACCCGGTCGTAACAACACCCCGACCGCCGCCAATTCCTCATCTCACGGGGGGAATAACAAATCCGTCCCTGCGCCTTCAGCTAGGTCGAAGCACAAGGCCATCAATGTCAACCCGAGAGCAAGGCAGGTAAACCAGCCGCGTGCTCAGCCTGTGAGGGCTTCGCCCGCTGTACTACCTATGCGAGAAACGACCATCAACCCAAATGCTCCTCTGTCCTTCGAGACTGAGAACGTCATCCAGAAGGTTGTGGTCAACTTCTCTAGCCGGGACATCAACCCGGCCTTGCCTGCATTGATCCTGTTATCAGCAGCCGCGCCCCCGGAGCTCGGATTCATGACTGTCGTCATATACAACAACAAATATTGCGAGTGGCCAGTGTCGGCCTGGTTTGATTATTCCACCGGTGCCGACAACCTCCTCACTGCCATATTTCAGAACGATGGTGGGCAGCAAGGTTACGGACTTCAGTTCAAGGACTATGGCGATCTCGTCAAGTTCAGGGACACCGTAGCATTACTCCAGGCAGGGAAGCATCCGAATCAGGTTGGCTCTGCTTCAGTTCCTGCTCCGACCGTCATCAGAACCCCTACTCCGACCGCCGTTGCCACCACGGCTAGAAACACGCTACAACCGGAAGCTCCAGGCGAGGCTTCAAATGTTGGCAGTATGCGCCCTCGGGCCGCATCTCCTCCGGTGCCGACTCCGACCAATGTGCCTTCCATAAGTGAGATGACGCTCGTCCCTGCCGGCTTCTCAGAGCCAACTACGCCATCCACCCACCCCGATGTCAATTCCGCTGAGACAGACCCAATGCTGGCCTTCCGTAACGCAGCCATCATCACTTGTCGCACACTGTTCCAGTTCTTTCATCTCACCGGGACCGCCACTAATGGCACCACTATGACCGTGGAAGACATGGAGCAAACAGCCGAAGGGATCAGGTCGGGAGTCCTGGAACACAGCATGAATACTGCAAGGGCCCAGGGGGCCAGCGAAGAACAAATCCAGGTGATCAGGGATACAATTAACGAATACTTTAGGTCCCAGTTGGCCGAGGGGCAGCGAGCAGTTACCAACTCCCGCCGTGTCTACTCATATGACTTCCTGATGTCGAGGAGGGTTGCTGCAATCAGCCCTAAAATCTCTATGGCTGACATTCCTGACTTGCCGCAGCTGAGATCCTCCTCTTCCCGAGGCCGTGTCTCCTCTCGGGGCCGCGCCACCCCTTACCAGAGCGCGACCCCTGACCAGCCCCAGATCTCGAAGTCTGCCAGTGCCATGCAATGGGTACTTAGCGGAGACGCACCCTCTGGGATGCCCAACACAGGGGCTGACACGACCCCCACGGCCCCTAGCAGTGCACAAGCCACTGTTCCGAGTGCGGTAGGCCTTGGTGGCACACCAGACACGGGTCTCCAAAACTCTCGTTGGGCATCTGGTGGGGAAGCACCCAAGCACGCAAATTGGTTCACGGGCCTAGGATACGAGAAAGCATGGTCCAAGAGAACTTATCTTGACGACCTTGCCCAGCTCGATCCTAATACAGCCGTGACTGCGGGCACTGAAGATATTATGGACCACTACTTCCCACTCCCGGATGCCAGCAGGGCTCAACCTAGTCCTCAGGCTTCTACTGTTGACGGCAACAGGGATAATATGGAGGATCTGAGCGTTGACATGTCTCGCCTGTCAATTCAGTCGCCGACGGCACCCCCGAGGCGGTCGGCTAGGTTGGCTAGGTTGGCTAGGCTGGCTGCTTCTGCAGAGGCGTCAGGCTATGCCACCCGACAGTATCGGGAGCTCCGCACACAGCCCACATCCGCGGGATCAACTCCGTCGGTGCCGTCGCTCGAGACTCAGGCTACGTCACGGTCTTTTAATATGGAATCTCGGGCCACACTGATGGCCTCGAACCCGTCGCCCGTCTCCATCACGGCCCAGGTCCCGAACGGGCTGCGCCCCGCGCCTACGCTGACACAAACGGAGCCTTCAACCTCAGCCGAACCTATTAGGTCGGCGTCGACGCAGCCGCCGCCGGCTGTGCCAGCGCAATCGCCCGCAACTACGGTAGCGCGACCTGGGGTACGCGGCCTTGCGGCATCTAGGCATTCTGATGGCATTGCGCCGTCCAATTCGGGGAATTTTGACTTCTACCTTCCGAACTCCGCGCGTCGGTAACGAGTGTCCCGGTTGCCCGCGTGCTAGTTTTGGCATTAACACGGCTCGAGAATAAACACCAGCCGAGTATGATGCATCCAGCTATTTCGAGAAAGATTTCTCGGGATTACAGGGAGCTTTTCGGAATATACGAAACGTGTATATCAGGAATGTCAGTGTCTCCTTTTCTATGGTCTCGTAACAATCTGGCAAGGCACTATCATGGAGGTCACTTTACCTTTGTGTTAATTCTTTTGCCATTTTCGGCCAATCTCTTTCGGTCTTCGGTCTTTCGGGTATCCTATCTTCTTCAGCTTATTTGCTTGAGGAGTTTTGGCGTTCACAGAATGGGCCGGTGATTTCGAGATGAGGTTACGGCTTCATTTTATTATGGGGGGAGGATCCCCATCTTCGGAAGAAGCATTGTTAGGAGTAGATAAATGTGTGTAGGAAGAGGGACAAATCTGTCTTTGTAAGTTTAATAATAATCTTTTAGAGCAAACCGGGCTGTGTATGATGTGATGTGATCGGTCGTTTCTACCTGGAGTTCGGCTTCTTTTGCCCATGGGTTGCCTATCCTACCCCCCTCCCTCTCACAACGCCCTATCCCCATCACAAGGCCCTACGGCCCCCTCACAACCCCGCCCAGCCCCCATCCTCCGTACTCTCCACCACCTCATCCACCCCCTCCCGCCGCAGTAGCCGTGTCACCTCGGGCCCGTTGGGCAGGTCGTTCTCGACGGCGCGCCGGTCGCCCTCGGCAAGGGTGGCTGCCAGTCCGGCGGCGACGTGTCGTGCTGCGAGCCGGGTGCGTGCCAGCGAGGTGGAGACGGAGACGAAAATTGTGAGGGAGAAGAGGGGGTGGGCGTGCGACCAGGGGGGGTGCGGGAGGAGGAGGTCTGTTTTTGGGGGAGGGGGGGTTAGTTGGAGTGTTTTTCGTTTGGTGAGGGGAAGGGGTGAAGAGCGAAAGGCGTGAGAAGGAACAGGTGGCTTCGAGCGTGCGAAGATTTAGGGGTTCTGTATGGGGGTACGTGGGGGCGGGGAGGTGAGTGAATAGGGGGGGGATGAGTCGACTTACAGTTTCCCCTCTAGCACGACTATCCGGTGGGGTTGGCTCTATTGCAATGTCGTTCTTTTTTGGGTCCTTGGTGGCGTGGTCGAAAGAGGGAGCGAAGACGGTGGTTGAGTCGGCGGTCAGGGGCTCTTTGAGGCGCTTTACAAGCTGCACGAAGCCCTCGCCGTCGAAAGGTGAACTCGGCCCCTCGCCGGGCATGGGCGGTTACCGGGTCGGGCATGGCGTCGAGCTGGGCACGGGTGTGGTGGTAGCCGTCCATTGGTACGAAGGCGGCGATGGGGGGTTCGGTGGGGGAGTGGGCTGCGTGTCGGGCATTGAGTGCCGTTGTGAGGCGCTTGGAGAGTGTGGTTTTGCCTGGGAGGGGGTCAGTGAGAGTCATTTTCGCAGGGCAAGGGGGCGTACCTGAACCGGGAATTCCAGCAATGGCAATCACTGCGAGGAGAAGTCAGCAACTTTCCTCAATATTGGTTTACTCTGCGCATGGTGTATATGTAGCGAGTTATCCCCAAACTGGCTTCTTCCCTGGACACCCAGGCCTCGGCAACACTGAAGTATACCGTATGCCGCATAACACAGGACAAAGGAATGAACTTGACTCACAGAATCGTGTGTCACTGGGTGTTTCTTGGAACCTGTCCCAGGCCTTGTCAAGGAGCCGGCTTAGTACATCGTCCATGGCGGTCGCTGTTGAGGTTAGGTGAAGGTGCAGTTGGTAAGCGTTCGATTGCGTCGCCCCTGAAGGATGCAGTTGCCTTTGCGCGTGAGGACTGAACTTGGCAACTAAAATTACCAGGAAGGAAATAATCGCAAGGCAGATAACTTGTTCGGTTCTAAATGCGGAGCGGAGATGAACTACCGGAGGCGGAGGTGTCACGGCACGGCCCCGATTGTGGCTCCGCACGGGAGTCGAGATCACTCTGGCCAAAAAAGCCGGACTCAGAAAGGGAGAAAGAAATCAAGAGAAGAGAAAGAAGAATAGAAGAAAAGGAGAAAAGAAAAAGATGTAAAGAAAACCGAGAAAATCAATTAATCAAAGAAAATTTGAGGAAAGTAAAAAGTAGACTTTGGTCTTCCGAATGGCTTTCTTTTCTTTCGTGTCGTCAAAGGTGCCTACACTCGGAGTTCGGCCTTTTTTTGTCCATGGGGCGCCGAGTCATCAAAATGAACAACACTTCCCATACAACATAACAACAAACACCACAACTCCGGCATATCCCTCGAAATACACTCGTCTCTGAAAATTACACAAAAAGACCAAAATAACAAATTTCAGGGGGCAAATCTAAGTTTCTCATCCCACTCACCCCTAATTTTCACAACTCAACGTTTTGTGAAGCCAGAAATCTCCTTACTCCTCACCTTCACAACCACTTTTACATAACACAACCACAACAATCATACTCGGAATCATGGAATCCGAATCCACAGACCCCAACCTCATGCTCCTATCCCTCAACCTCTCCGACTCAGAACCCGAAGAAGGCGTCGCCCCTGGCAACACCGCCACAACTACGACTGGTCCGACGACCGAATACCAGCCCACCCGCGCCGAGCGCACCGCCCTCTCTGAAGACTGCTTTCCAGGCCTTGAAACGGATCTACCGACCCAAGATCGAGAACGGCAATGTAATCCCCCTCTTTACCAAGGCTCTCCCTTCACCTCCCTCCCTTTTTCACATCCCTCCCTTTCCACATTCCTCCCCTTTCCACCTCCCCCCCGCCCACTCCACTCACCACCCGCCCTCTCCCCCAACAGACACACACTCAACAACACCCCCAACTAAACAGCCAAAATACTAACAACCCCCTCTCCCAACTCACAGATCAACACCACGATCCCCCTCCCCCTCCCACGAACCCCGCTCCCCAAACCACAAGCCCAAGCCCTGCTGCACGCGGCCGAGGAACTGTATTTCCTGCGGCCGTAATGCCGAGGCGGCGGCTTTTTGTGAGGGCCGCGTTCTGGAAGGATGAGGCCGAGGTTGAAGCTTGAGATTCGGTGACGACCTGGGATGAGGGCGAGGGTAGGGAATGTGGATGGGAATGGGGATATGAAAGGGGAAGCTGTTCGTAGAGGGGTGAGGAAAGCCAAGGCGAAGACGAAGACGATGAGTGGGTAGGGGGAAGGGGAGGATTGATGATGAGACGAAGCGGTTGTTGGCGTACTACCTGGAGCGATGCGAGGCGAGGGCACGGGGGGGGGAATAACGGTGGTGGGGGTGTTGGCGTGAGTGTGAGTTAGGACTTGGGGCCAAGGGGTGGTGAAAGAAACGGATTCAAGAGATGCTCTTCTGCCCCGGTCAATGAATCGGTCACAGGGACAAGATGAAACAATCAAGTGGTTGTGTGCGGCGGCGGAGAGTATCCTCTTCTCTTCACATTACGTCTGATCTAAAGACGTTCTAAGTCTTGCCCAAGATGACCCAGGGGATCTATCATGCCGCCATGTAAATCGGCAACAGGAGCGGAGTCTTTTATATACACAGAACCCAAACCAACTCCTTCCCAGTGCTGACTCACGGGGTATTTCCCGGGACTCCGCAAACAAAATGAACAGCCCAGCCGTGTAGTCTTGTGATGGTATGAACAAGCAGCGGGGGAATGCAAAAAAATCAACCGTGACGCCATGCTCCAAAATCTCGCGCTCGCAAACATCGCTTCTAATGCCGCCGTTTTGATGACCGTTTTTTCCTCTATCCGGCTCCGGGTAGGGCCGCAAAAATGCCAGACGGCCCCGCCCAGGAGATGCAAGAAATCCGCTTCGTTGTCCGTCGTCGCAGGTGCGTGGCCCCTTCTTTGTTGCTTTGGGTGCGCACGTTTCGTTGCTGCCTTGGGCTCCTTTTTCCTTTATCCTCCCAATTACTGGTATTCAATACCACTGGAGCCATGCTCGGTGTTGGCGTCGTCGTTAAAAACGGTGGGGCGCGGTTGGGCGCTCCTCGCTGCCACGTCATGCAGCGACCGCCGCTAACCGGATGTTGCTGGCTTGCGACTGGATGAGCATCATCCGCTCACGTTCGCGCTCCTCGGCGAAGACACGGCGGCTCATAGCGAGGACGGCCTCGAAGCCCTCCTTGCCCTTGATGGCGTTCTCGTGGAAGCGCTTGACGAGGGTGTCCTCGATGCGGTTCTTAATGCGCTGCCAGCCACCGCAAAGCGCCGTGATCTGTGCCGACTGCTCGAAGGACGTCTGGTGGTCGTTGAGCGGGCGGTAGACGACCGTCTCCTGCACGTTGATGAGGTTGCTCATCGTGAGGTTGGCCGAGACCATGGTCACCGTCTTGCTTCGCGGGTCGACATACGACGTCTCAAACACCTGCGACTCGTCGATGCAGCCGCCCAGTATGCTCTTGAGCCAGTCGGGCGCGGATTGCTTGCAGGTGATGAGGCGCTCTGTCCGCAGAATGCCCGTCTCGGGGTCGACCGACCGGCTGACGGTGTCGACGGCGACCACATGGGTTGATTTTTGGTTCCATGGGCAGTACTTCCGCCAGTTGGCGGTCGATACTTCCTCCCAGGAGTAGTTGAATGTTTCCGAGTTGGAAAAGACTTTCATTTTCTCCTGTGCCTGTTCGCCTGATGTCGACGACCTTTGGTGGATCTTAGGCCGCTCGTCCGAGGACTCCGGTTGCGGTCGCGTGCCGGAGGGGGGGGACACGGAAGAGATCGGCAATTCAGAAGTTTGCCGAGTGTAAGTCAAGCGATTGCAATAACGCAGTTCGCAGTTCGACAATCGGCCTTCGCGTTGTCGAGTAGGTTGTTGATAGGATTTTGGGGCGTTTCTTAGGTAAGAAAGTGAGTGTGGAAGTTGCGGCACATGCAAAAGTAGTCGATTCCAACAGCCCGCAGAGGGGTTTCGGCTGTGAGTCCTTTTGTATGATAAATTTTGGCGACTGCCAGCACGAAATCTTATCGGAATGGCGAGTGGCAACCCCTGTCTATAGTTAGGCTCGCTTACCTATCCAAAAACGGTAATAGCATGGGTATCATGAAAAATTCTCGGCCAACTTGCGGATGGGTCTGGAACGCCACCAAGCCAACCCAATCAGCGAGCGGGTCATCTTGACCGTTGGCGAAACGGGGTTCGGGGACGCCTTTTCGCCATTGCGATTGACTCCCTCACCCGTCACCGTCTGGAACCCGTGCGTCATTGAAACAATTGGAAACACCGGAAACCCCGATTGTTCTTGCAACTTGGGACGGTGTTCCATGTACAGGAGAGTTAGGGGTATTCAATCTGAACATCCAAGCATCTTGATTTCATTTCATCACAGTCCGAACCGTTGACAAGCGGTCTGGCACTGTGGCGGACTAGCGGTGTCGGGCTTTGGTCCCTGATTGTGGTTCCGTATGCGGAGAATACCTAGGTACCCGACCACCTAACCCAACGGGAGAACCTCGAGTTATCGACATGCCCAAGATGGCCATGCACATATGCACAGATCTCCGCTGCCAACACTGGGCGAAACGGCTACGAACCCGACTCTTATTTAAACAGTTCGCTAAAAGTCATCTCCACGGCTGATGACCTCCTTTACGGTCGGTCGGATGAGGATGGTCTGCAAAGTCAGCCGAGGGCTCTCCTTGAAGCCGATGCTGGTTACTCACATGCTCAAACTGGGCCGTGTATGAGCCCTTCTTATCCACCAGCGGCGGATACGCCTCGACGATGCCGTTCGAGACAAGATTGTTCAACTACAACAATCAGCATACACACACCCTCTCTTATCAAGACCGCCGCAACTTACCCCGAGCAGATACTTCTCTTGACCAAGGCGGTCCAAGTACCGTCTGCACCACGGCAGGGTGCCAAAATTCTTGTTAATGACACTCAGGAGCGACTTGGCCGAACTCAGACGAAGGTCAACCTTGGGCGCATCGGTACGCTTAGCGTAGTGCGACACCTCGCCATCCTCGATCACATGGCCGCCGCCCGTGCTGCCGAAGGTCTCAATGGCAAACACATCGCCCTCCTCCATCTTGGTAGTGTCGTTGCTCTTCACGATCGGCACGCTCTTTCCGCCATGGATGTTGTACGGGAGAATGGTGTGTCCGTTTAGATTGCGGATCGGCTTGACCGGGTAGGTTGTGCCATCAATCTCCACCTCGTAGCTCTCCATGACTTCTTGGATTACCCCTCCGATCTCGCCCAGCCTCACGTCGATACCGGCCTCCTTGATACCCGCGTTGGTGGCGGCCTTTACGGCCTCTAGGAGCGGGTCGTACCGGGGGTTGAAGGCCATGGTGAAAGCGCTGTCGACAATATTACCATTCACTTGGACGCCGAAATCGATCTTCATCACGTCGTCCTGTTGCAGGATCATTTTGTTGCCCGCGTTGGGCGTGTAGTGCGCTGCGCAGTGGTTGATGCTCAACCCTGTGGGGAAGCCCATCCCGGCAATCAGAGCATCGCCCTCCTCCAAGCCCTGGTGGCCGACAAGAGCGCGGACAGAGTCCTCGATGCCGTTGGCAATGTCAGTCAACGACTGGCCAGGCTTGATGTTCTTTGCCGCCCACTGCCGCACCTGGCGATGGGCCTCGGCGGCATGGCGGTAGTCGTTGAGGAACTCGCTCTTTAGGTTGTCAAGGTGGCGCTTCTCCTCGTTGGTCGTGCGGTAGCTGTTCTCGTTTAGGTATTCAACCTCCTCGCCCTTGGGATACTGCTTGTCCGGGAAGAGCTGCGAAATCAGCACCCGCGGAGGGTCGGACTGCTGCGTAGGGTTCTTCTTCTTCTTCCTCGGCTTTCTCTTCTTCTTCTTCTTGGCCCCGCCAGCCGCAGGGGCAGAGGCATCTTCTGCGTCGTCCTCGGAGTCGTCCTCGTCGTGGTTTAGGTTGCCATTGCTCGCATCCGGCTGAGGTTTGTTGTCGGCGTCTTCAACTGTGTGCAGTCAGCAATCACTGGGCGTTCCATTAGATACAATTGAGACGTACCGCTCAGCTTGCTGAGCTCGTCTGTGGGAGGAGCTTGAGCAGCCATCTTGGGGTTCTGAAAGTTGCTAGCGAACCGAAGAATCCGCTGAGTTGAGCCAACGTTATCTGATGTAGCTTGACCCCACCATTACTTTTTGAAGCTGCACGCGGGGCACTGAGCGCTGTAAATTTGGTAAATAACGGAAACGATTTCTCGCCACGGCGTAACGGTGCTGAGCGGCCTTGGCAACAAGCCGCCCCTCGCTCATCCTCGTTCACCCATTTCGTCACGAACCTCGAAAGTGGGCTACACGGCACGACATCAACAATAGTAGGCGTCGAGGCAAATTCCAACCTCGACTCCCTCAACGGCTCTCCCTTTCACACCTCTCTGAGCCATGTGAACAGCCATTAGGATGCGGCATGCCACTCCGCTTTACTCCCACCACCGCGGTCCTGACCGCCCAGTCACCAGCGCCAGCAACAGCAGCGGCAGCATGGACCTGCCATCGCTTCTTCCACGCCTCGCGCACCCTCCGCCTTGAGGCCAACTCCGCCAGCAACGTCAACCACTATGAGACCCTCAACGTCCATCCAACCGCCTCCACCGCGGAAATCAAAAAGTAACTCCCGCCCTCCCCCCATCCCCCCAAATCCCCCCCTTCCCATTAAAAGAAAATAAAAATCCCTTCTCGCCCCGTCCCCCCGTCTGGTTGGATCGATAATTCTTGTTAAGGGGGGCATCTGCGACCGCAAGCTATCTAACACCCCTCACTCCAC